GCGTCCGCAGCGACAATCGTACCCTCGGCTTATGAGCGGCTCGCAGTGGCGGTGGAGGAGGCGCCATGGCCGGTCGCGCTGTGTCCTCCGGTGGTGACCATGGCCCTCCCTTGCCATTTGGGGTCGTCGGCGTTCGTGGCATGCTTGGATCTAGCTCCACCATGCCTGCCGGATCGAGGAGCCACGATGAACGTCGAGGAGCGGCGAGTGCTATTGCTGAAGACAACTTCAACATCAACGCCCAGGATGCTGCTTGAAGACGACGACGTCAAAGAGATATTTCCGAACACTCAAGGCCCGGTACGTTCTTAGCCCCACAAAAATATGCTTGGTGTTGGATGTTGGCATGTTCTTAATGTATCTGCGTATTCTTGTGATGCATGTACTAGTCTGTTACTGGCAAGGCAAATTGGTCAGAAAACCATAAAAATATTCTGTAATTTGTGGGTTGAGCAAATTCACTTGGGTAATAGCATCAAAGGATGCATGTCAAAGAGAGGGTATAGGGAGGTTATAAACAGGTATTATGCAGCAACCAATTTGTTGCATGATCAGAAGCAGATCGGTAATAGGATTAGGCAACTGAAGGGATACCGACAATTCATAAGAAAACTACAGACTAACACTGGCTTTGGCCGTAGAGATGATGTCACTATTGATGCCACAGATGACTGGTGGAATGAGAACACTAAGGTACTTGCCAAACTGCTTGTTTCCTGTTTGACCACTAGTTAGTTGATCACTTACTCACTATAGTAAGCACATGTTTTGTAGGGCCACGCAGAATGGAAGAAATGCGGTGGGGGTGGCTAGAGTACATGGATCAGATGGACCAAATGATCTATGGTGTAGCTGTTGATGGCTCAACCTCATTTGTTGCTGGACAAAGTAGCTTGCATGGTCGAGGAGGCACTGTGGAGCAGGAAGATGAGGATGCAACTAAAGACCTTGAGGTGCAGACTCCTGTTAGTATCAGTAGCCACAAGAGAGCAAGCAGCACAAGCACCACAGGCTCTAGTCCTCGCAAGAAGAGCCTAGCACTTGGGTACATGAAGCAATACATGACTGACATGGCTAAGAATCAAGCTGAGAGAAATGAGTACTTCAAGCAAACTTGCATTGTGAAGCAACAGAGGGAGGCTACCCTACGTGAAAAGATTAGGCTAGTGCAGTAGTTGGCTAAAGAGTGCGGGGTATCAGAGACTGTGCCTGAGTGGTTTGTTGTACACAAGATCTGCAATGAAGAAAACATGATTGAGTTCTTCATTGGAATGTCTACACCAAAAGGAAGGCTGGCCTTCTTGAAGCAATATGCCAGGGTCAACAACCTGATCTAGATCCTATTATCTTAATTTAGTTACTTGAACTGTTGTGTCTGTCATTTGCACTGTCTGTCATTTGAACTAAGTCTTTTTGTCATTTGAACCAAGTCTGTCATTTGAACTATATTTGTCATGTGCACTGTATCTGTTATGAATGTGATGTGGTACTATACCAATGCCTGTTATGTGATGAATTTGAATTATGATTGTGATGTGAGCCTATTTGTCATTTCAACTGGAATATTTGAATATGAAACTGAGTTTGTGATGCATTTATATGTTAGGATGGTAATTCAGTAAGGGATAGGGACACTTCTGATGAGTCAAGTGATGATGAACTCTTCAGACTTCTAGTTGAGCAGGATGATGATGATAGAGACTTCCTAGACGGTATGCTTTTGTTTGTTGTTCACTATAACACATACTGCAATAAGGCTAAGAGAAGGAAACCCATTGAAACTAGATTACAATGGGTAGAGAGAAATCTTAGAGATGGAAACAAATGCTACAACATGTTTAGGATGAGCCTAGCAATATTTGATCGACTTCATGATCTGTTGGTAGAGTCATATGGCCTCAAATCAAGTACAAAGAGTATCTTAGTAGAGGCTTTAGGCATGTTCCTCTAGATACTTGGAGCACCACAGTCAGTTAGGCAAGCTGAGAATAGATTTGAGAGATCACTAGGCACAGTTCACAACAACTTCAACAAAGTTTTGAAATGTGTTATTAAGCTAGCTGCAGACATAATTAAGCCATTGGACCTAGAATTCAGAACAATTCATAGTAGATTGAGAAATCCTAGGATCCATCCCTTCTTCAACAATTGTATAGGAGCACTAGATGGCACTTACATACTAGTTGTGGTGACAAGTGATAAGTTGATTCAACACATGTGCCGCAAGGGCATGACAACACAGAATGTGCTGGCTGTTTTTGACTTCGACATGAGGTTCACATTTGTTCTTGTTGGATGGCCTGGTTCTGTACATGACATGAGAGTATTCACTGATGCTATGATCAAGTACGGCGACATGTTTCCACATCCACCGACAGGTAAACAAGTTCCTATGTTGCAATTGCAGCTTGTAGTTGTAGTAGTTTAAACTTACAAAACTGTTCCATTGTGTTGGGAAAATTTACCTGGTGGACTCTGGATACTCGAACCGTCCGAGTTATCTTGCGCCCTACAAGGGAACCAAGTACATCTTCTGGAGTATCGAGAAGGCCCGAAGCCACAAGGTAAAAAAAGATCTTCAACTTCGCACATTCATCTCTTAGAAATGTCATCAAGAGGTCATTTAGAGTTTTGAAGATGAAGTGGAGGATTTGGTTGCATATGCCAAGTTATGCACCTGATAAGCAAAGTTAAATAATCGTAGCATGCATGGCACTGCATAACTTCATTCGAGCGAGTGGAATAGTGGATAGGGACTTTGATCGTTGTGATCGTGATAAGAACTATGTTCCACCTGAGGCATCGACCTCTCAACCATGTGCTCGTCAGGCGCCGGCAAGGGACGAGTCTGCGTACATGAATGCTTTCCATGACCAAATAGCCATTGGTTTGTTAAATAGATCATGACAATTTGAATTGTGTACTTGAATTGTAACATGTGTGATTGATATGTATGGTTGAGGACAATTGAATTGTGTACTTGAACTATTGAATAATTGTGCAATAAAGTGTAATTTTTGATTGTTTGAAAACCTAGCCAGTAGCCCGTCGATGAGGAGCCCGGCGCGTGTTGCAGCATCCCGACGCGTGCCGGTGGACATGGGCTGTGCATGGCTCACAATTAATAAAGCAAATCAGTCATTAAATGATGACAAATCAGTCTTTGTTTTATACAGTGCTAAACATTTGCTATGAATCTAAACACCTCAGGCTAAAGCTGCCATGACTAAAGTTTAGCAGCGAAATTTTAGAAACTAATCTTTTGCCATGCCAAATGCACGTCTTGAGTTCGAATTGAGGTCGTTGGTTTAAGATAGTGGACTTTATGAGCACAGGGACAAATGCTTACCCTATGATGATATAAATGTGTCAGATACTCAGATCGGTACGAGAGGACAAAGGCTGGTCATGTGTCACATCTTAAGAGAACTGAAATGGGTGACAATTAAATGACCGAGAGGGTAGGCATTTTCCTCCCCTGTTGGCCTATTCTTCAGGGATTTGATCGCGTTTCAATTTAGTAATAGTGGAATACTGTGCCTCCCTCATGACCTTGCATCTTACAGTGATCAATAAGCCCTCTATTCATATCATCACTTATTAGTTATATGTTAGGATGTTAGCTTGTTACTGTTAGGATTCTAAAACTTGTGATTCTTGGTACATATGATTATTTTCATATTCTAGGTGTTAGAGTGGTGCCTAATTATCATTTGTCAAGTTAAACAGGAAACAGAATTTATAACTTATGAACTAAATATATGCTGCAAGCTAACTCTTGCTAGTATAGTAGTATTGCTATATGTTTTATTTATCATATTACAAATGAAAAAAAAATGTAGCATAAAAGGTCTAGTGTTAGTTCATCTAGGGTCCTCAAAACTATAGAGACGGCCTCTTCGAGATCGAAGCTTTAGGTGAGTCAAAGCTTCAGAACCGGTAATCCTTGTTTTCCTCCTCCCATGCTTTTTGCTACATCTCTGAAAAAGTCAGTCGTTTGCAGCGCGTATTGGTGCCTCCTTCTCCCAATCCCAAATATATAAGCTGGTGGTGGATTGATTCGCGGTGCATCCAAACCGCCGGTCAACCTGTTTTCCGTTAACATATGAACTGCCTTGGTCTTGGAGAAAATACTGCTTTATTTTTGTTCTTTCCGGATTCACCATAGATTAGCCGCTAACTGTGGTTGATCCAAATCGGATTGTCCAACTAGGGTCCAGCAGGTCCTGGTCTGCAGATACATTTCCTAGACATTTTAAATGCATTAGTTACAAATCATATATTTAATAGTCATGAGTCATGACATTTTAATTCCATTCCAGGAATTTTAGTTCTGTCATCTCTCTGCCACCTATGCATGATCGATGAACATTTGGCAGAACCCTTTTGTCTTTAGTTTCGAGAAATGCATGTTGTTATCATAAGTTCATAACCGTCCTTGATAATCTCAAGAAACCAAGAGTTTAAAATTTGTAAAAGTTCACAATGCCTCTCTGTTTCAAACAGCATCACCTAGGTATCTAGGCCAAGACAGAGTAAAAAGATAGTAACAGTCATGCATGCATAGAGCTCAGCAGATCGAGGTTTTGGTGATAGAGACACACGGGCTTAGATGGAGCTCCGAATGCACCGGGACCGGTTCAAGCCTTGCAACTCAATCTCCCTGCTACCACCAGCTTGATATGGTCGTGCCAAGACTTCTTGTTCACATATCCATGCCATGACGTCCAACTCCAAGCTTGCATACATGTGTTGCACAACTATATATATGCTGTGTTTGTCCCAGTATTTAGCCAACAAAAACCAGAGCTACAAAGCAAAAGCCCAAGAGCTAGCTCAAAACCAAAACAAAACCACACGTACAAGCCTCTACTTCACCTCTCAGCTAAGTAGCTAGGGTCATAGCTTCACACCTAACAGAGCACACCAAGTGGCAGCTAACAGGTAGCTAGTTTCTTCATTTGTACGTGCATGCACATAACCGGCGGTGTGACGACATCATGAAGGTGAAGATCACGAGCTCCAAGATCGTGAAGCCGGCTCACGGCGGCGACGGCGTGGCGCCGCCGAGCGCCGACGAGAGCGTGCCGCTGAGCGTGTTCGACAAGGTGACGTACGACGTGCACATTGCCGTCATCTACGCGTTCCGGCCGCCGAACCCGCCGAACGCGGCGCTGGAGCAGGGGCTGGCGCGGGCGCTGGCCGTGTACCGCGAGTGGGCGGGGCGTCTCGGCGACGGGCCCGACGGCCGGCCGGCCGTGCTGCTGAACGACGCCGGCGCGCGGCTCGTGGAGGCCGCCGTGGACGCGCCGCTGGCCACGTCGATGCCGTTCAAGCCGTCTCCCGAGCTGCTGCGGCTGCACCCCAGCATCGTCGGCGACGGCCACGTGGAGGAGCTGGTGCAGGTGCAGCTGACGCGCTTCGCGTGCGGGTCGCTGGTGGTCGGGTTCACGGCGCACCACCGCGTCGCGGACGGCCAGGCCACGGGCAACTTCCTCGTGGCGTGGGGCCTCGCGACGCGCCGGCTGCCCGTGGAGCCGCTCCCCGTCTGCGACCGCGCCACCCGGTTCCAGCCGCGGGACACGCCGCTGGTGGAGTTCCCGCACCGCGACACCGAGTACTACCTGCCCGCCAAGAAGCGCGGCAGCGACGACGACGAGGACGACATCGGCGGCGTGGCCCACAACAAGATCAAGGTCCACAAGGTGCTGTTCACCAAGGAGTTCGTGGCGCGACTCAAGGCGCGGGCCTCGTCGGGCGTCCCGCCGCCGCCGACGCATCATCATCATCACCGGCGCGGGCACTACAGCACCTTCGAGAGCGTGGTGGGGCACCTGTGGCGCGCGGTGACCGCGGCGCGGGGGCTGGGCGCCGGCGAGACCACCAGGCTGCGCATCTCCGTGAACGGGCGGACGCGGATGCGTCCCCCCGTGCCGCCCACCTACTTCGGCAACATGGTGCTGTGGGCGTTCCCGCGGTGCGACGCCGGGGACCTGGTGTCCCGCCCCGTGCAGCACGCCGCCGACCTGATCCGCCGCGCCGTGTCGCGCGTGGACGACGCCTACTTCCGGTCCTTTGTCGACTTCGCGTCGTCGGGCGCGGTGGAGCGCGAGGGGCTGGCGCCCACCGCCGACGAGTCGCAGGTGGTGATGTGCCCGGACCTGGAGGTGGACAGCTGGCTGGGGATCAGCTTCTACGACCTGGACTTCGGCGGCGGGTGCCCGTTGTACTTCATGCCGTCGTACCTGCCCATGGAGGGCACCATGTTCCTGCTGCCCTCCTTCCTCGTCGACGGCGGGATCGAGGCCTACGTGTCGCTCTTCGAGGGCCACCTCGAGGAGTTCAAGCGGATATGCTACAATATCGCCTGATGCAATCACGCACTCATCGATCCACCGCGGCCGCCATGAATGATTCGAATAAGAAAAATAGTAATTACTAATAGGAAGAACATGCATCCAGCCACCGCGGCTCGTAATCCATTTGAAGTAACGTTTCTTTGTTTGTACGTATGTTTTTAACCTCTCTATTAATTGTATCGATTAACCTTGCGTCAGGCACGCAATTACGCAATGCAATGGGCGGTCAAAAGCAGCATCAGTAGGAGGAGATTATACTGGGTATGCACGTACGTCATGCGTCATGCCTAGTGTCTATGTATACTCCCCATTCCGGAACTGAACCGTAGCATGTACTCCGTTGTCCACAATCCTCTTTTTTTCCCCTAAACAATAATCAAGCGGGATATCAAAAGATTATACGAGTAGAATTGTTGCGGTCGAATAATATTGATGATATATATATATATCATACATAGATTTCTGCTATTTCCTGATTAAGTATATGCGACAGAACAACTTTAGAGTAAAATCTTTTTGACGTATCACGTACGGCTTGGCTTAATGTCGTCTAAATTTGGCGTCTTTGAGTCCGGAGGAAGTGGATGTAACATATCACACGAGCTACATATAGTGGAGTAGCTCCAAATACGAAGAGATAGGCAGGTAGCCGTCCACACTCCACAGGATATGCACGCGGCAGGACGTTTCTGCTCCGCGGACGGACCTACCCACCGACGACGTGGACATGCAACTGATGCCCGCCGGCCGGGCTAGCTGGATCGTACAGTACAGGCACAGGCACGCAGATGCAGCAGCAGCACAACACAAGGCGGATTCCGGCGCGGACGTCGTCGGGCAGGAAGACGGCGGGCCCTTCACGCTGCAGTCTCTGACGGCCACGGAGGCCCCCGCGGTGCCCTGCTCGCCGCTGCAGCAGCAGCCGGCGACGTCGCCGGTCTTCGATGCCCGGCAGCCACCGCCGCCACCTCAACCTACGACCTCGCCGGCGGTCGGGAAGACGCCCCTGGAGACCTTCCCGCTGCCAGGATCAGCGGACGTCCCTGTGACGGAAGCCGCAGCGCCCAGCTCGCCGCAGCGGCCTCCCCCGCCTCCGGCGTCGGGATGGACATCTTCCTCGTCCGCCCTTCCGCCACGTCGTCATCTTCGCTCTCCCCCCATGCCACCCCCTTCCACCCAGCGGGGAACTCAGTGGGGCGTTCCAAGGCTCGCCGGTGGGCGGAGGAGGACCTTGACGCCTCCGATGCGGAGTCGTCACCGGCTATCTCCCAAACCCCATACATCGACGCCGTTCGACGGGAGCCACAGCTACGGACGTCGTCGCCAGGGGCACGCTCGACGGGGCCGCCGTTGGGTCACGAGCCGGGAGGCGGGGAAAGCGCCCCAACCACCGGCGACCACACCCGTAGCTCGTCCACGGGCTTCCTGTCCGAGGCCGGGTCAACGGCAGCGGAACCGGTCGGGAGGCTCGCGATCGTGCGTGGCGTCGGCCGGTTCATCGGAGGCTAGGTCCTCAGCCTGCTCCCGGCACCCGTTAACGCTTCACCGCTCCAGACGCCGATGGCTGGCGCGAGGTCCTTCCGCGAGGGCCGTCCGAAGGCCGAGTTGGGGATCCACCGCCGCGACCATCGCGTCCAGCGCCTAGTTTTCCAGCGGAGCTGCAGGGAAAATGCCTCAACTGCCTCTCCACCTCGCACAGGGTGGCGACCTGCAGGCTGCCTCAGCGCTGCCTGCGTTGCAGGGGCTTCCGCCACCGCGCGCGTGATTGCAAGCGGCCGCGGAGGCCGAGTTCAGCAAGGAACGGCATACCTGGCGACTTAGGCGCACACCGTCGACGTCCTTCCCAGTGTCGCCGCGACCAGCCACTCTCTCACGCCGCTAAACCGGGCTTGGGCGCAGAGGGAGGTACGCCGGACCCGGGCGGAGCCGTGCGGGGCGCGGATGGGCGCTACGGCGGAGGACGGCGACACCATCGTCATCTACGTTGACGGCGGCGACGGAGGAGCCACGGTCGTTTGGCCGGGGCCGCTCTAGCAGCGCCGGACGACACATCTGTCGCTGCTGATGCCCAGGCCGGACATGGTGTGCTGCTCGGCGCGACGGGCCTCGTCGAGCTCGACCCACTGACGCTGACACCGCGCACGGGCGCCACAGCTGATCGCGACATCGCGGAGGACCCAATGCTGGTGGAGCTCGTGGCTTTGCTCACTGGCAGTCGGGCCGTCGCGTGGCCTCCACTGGTCACCCAGCTGGTGGACGAGGCCACGGCGGTGGTCACCTGTGATTGCACGCAGATGCCGTCCTAGCATGCCGACTCGACGTGGCTGACACCACCCCCGCGCCCCGCCTCACCCCTGGTGTTGCCTCAGCACGGGCAGTCACAGGTCACGCCAAAGCGGTTGGTGTTTGACGACCACTCGGGCGTTGATGCGCCCACGGTGGGGGAAGAGGGCTGCTTCGCCGGTGCACACGGACCCAAGTACGCCGCCGGGGGACACCCACCAGACAGTTGACGACGACGTCTCCTTCAAGCGCCACCTCGACAACTTCACCATGGCAGTGGTGCATAAGCGGGACTCTCCGCTGATTCGTGAGCCTCCCAAGCAACCGCCTGCTAAGCTAATGCTGTCGTGGCGGAGCAGGCGGTTGGCGGCTCAGAGCCTATCCCGAGTACCTGCTTTCAAGCGAGGTGGGGTGCTGATTATGCAGCGTATGGGCTACATCAAGGGTCCATCAGCGTCGGAGGTGGAGGCCTTTGACAGGCTCTTCGATGGCAACCTGACCGCGTCGGAGGCCGAGGCGATGGACGCGCTCTTCTCGTTGGAAAGGGCCCGTCCAGGTAGCTGCGAGGACGCTTGGCCACCTCCTAGGTCTCACCGCTGCGTTGGTTTTGGTTGTTTCCTTTTATGTAATATCGCAACAAAAGGTATTTTGCTATGATGGTCCAGCTACGGCTGTGTTAGGTCGACCTCCTTTGACGCTCGATGAAGCGCGTTGTATGTCTGTTTAAGCTCTTCTACTTAATACAATGATACGTAAACATTTTGCGTATTTGAGAAAAAAACGAAGCTAGTTAGTACGAACTGGAATGTGATTATATTTATCACTGGCTCTTCAAACCAAACTCAACAAGAGGCCAAGACAGCATAAGAAAAGGCCGTTCCTTTTATATGAAACTCCATAAAGCTCTAGAATCCGCGCGCTAAGAGCTATCTGATTACTGTTCACCAATCGTATTCAGCCACGTAGCTCGTGCGTGTCCATCCATCGCTTTGGCCTCTCCCCATTAACCGGCCTAAAAAACAAAAAACGAAAACCGTCCAGCGACACACCTCGCCTTCTCCGCCTCGCTTCCTCGCCCCTTTCGCCCTCCTCTCCCTCGACCGCGGCGCGCGCAGATGTGGCGCCCGGCCTTGCCGCCGGCTACGCGCGGGTATTCTTTACCTCTTCCTCTCCTCCACCACACCAAGACACGGATACCATGACCATCCCGGGCGGCGGCGCGAGCCGATCTGCACGACGAGAGCCAAGGATAACGACGACGCTTAGGCTTAGCGCTGGAAGCCCAAGGCAGAGGCGCCGTCTACCGTCCGCCCATATCTTCATCTCCGCCGCTATCAGGTTCGAACTGTGGACGACGCCCAGGTGCCACGAGGGGAGCAAGAATAGCGGACAGCGGTCTCGCCCAGGTGCTCCAGTTTCCTCTGTTTACTTTCTAATTTTGCTCTGCCTCTTTGATTCCCTCAAATTGACTTGGTTTCCTATCGTAGGGTTTGGACTTTGATGGCTGATATTCAGCTGTTCGTCTACTCAGTATACATCCCCACGCCAATTGGCGATTCCTTCCTCACAGATAGGATGCGCTCATCTCAGGCCCCCAACACCCGTGCTTGGTTTGCTATCCTACTCTTGGCTTTTTTCCCATTATATGCTTCAATTTATGGTTGTTCACTGCAACTGGCCTGCCATGATGGAAATAGGAGTGTGCTTCTTTTTATGTGTAGTCTCCATGTTTTGTTTTTCTAAAATGAAAAGATCATGGATTACTCATATGGTAATATGTACTTCTGTTGTAGAATTGCTTTCTTATGTTTACTATAAGATGAGGTCACAAAAGCCAAAAAAAAGGTGTTGCTCCCTAAGGGCAAAATTAGCTCACACTTGCTTCCAGGTTCCAGTTTCCTCATGAAACATAGATTGCTACAGTTTTGCGTTTGATTGTGTATATTGTAGGCTTAAAAATTCCCTCTGCGTCCCATCCCATATTTTTTTTGGGTTCAGGTCAAAACGTTTGATACAACAAGGCCATTAAAACATGGACATAGATATTTAGTTTCTCATTGAGCTAGATTTTAGAGAAGCTAATGTTAACAAGTGCCTACAAAGTTACCTCTTGAGTCCGATCAATTGCAATTTATGATCGTTAATCTGCATAGGCGTGTTGGCAATGTCAAAGTTAAGGTTCAGTTGTACCTGCACAAAATATAGCTCTGCTAAATTTCTTTGCTCTCCCTCTTTCATAAAATTTCAGAGCTTAGTATTTTTTATTGGCTAACAAACATGACCTTTGCTTCACTTCCTCATTTGGTTTTTAAAGGGTAAATTTAGTTTGTCGTGGTTATTTTCCTATTGCCTGAACTGTTCCTGTCTGGTGTGTGCCGATCTTTGTTATATGCACTGCCTCTATTTTTAGATTTTTAATGTTAGTTAGTTCAGTGTTGGGCTATCCAATGTGAAATATTAAAGGGTACGTACGACACCTAATATTCTTGATGACCAATTGTTCAAAATGCAGTCCACATTATTTTCATATAAGTCACATGTGTTCCTAGATCTTAGAGTCTCTGATCGTGATGTGTGCAGGTCATACACAATGTGCCATATCACTGGTGCAGGGACCTTTCTTGCTCAGATGAATTTGCTGGCTGATGATCTGATGTTTCGAAGGCATTATTTCTGATACACATGAGGGGTATGCAGTATGCACTATCACCGCCTTTCCTTCTAATGGC